TTCCACAATCGTATCTGTGACGGATTTGAAGGAGGAAGGTGAAAGTATACAGCCTTGCCTGACACAACTTGATGTGGTGAACCCAGGCGAGATCTTCCGGAGCTTCACATGTCCGCGGGAATTGTCGTGTACCTCTTCAAGCAGGGTGAAGAATTTATGGAGACATCTTTGCTCCACAAACACTGCCATAGTGTCTGACGGCCCACACAGTTAAAGACAGCTTTCAGACCAAGAAACACAACCATTGTTGGTTGCTGGAAGCAGTGTCGCTGTCCCAGAATCTATCGGAGGGTGAAGGTATGATCGATGCATTTTCTTGCAGGACGGAACCCAGCTTGCTTTTCACGGATCTGTCTCTCCCTGCGTTCAGTCAACCTTCGAAAGATAAGGCAGTGAGCTTTTTCGATACCACAGCTAACAGGCTGATGTTACGGTCGTTTTCACACAGCGTCCGCGTACCATTTTGAACACAGGGATGATTGCCGACGTGCCTCATTCTGCATGCCCCCCTGTCTGGACTTGGGCAGCCTGGCGGTATCCCAGCCCTCGTGCTTCCTTCGGGTGGCATGGCAGCTAGGCACCAAAAGGGTGCTACAGCTGAACGCTATCTACGTTCCACGTAACATCAATAAGCTTTGTAAGATGGATTACCAGGGATTCTTCGCTTTCTCTGAAGGGGGTTGGATAAATATCTTCCGGTCCTGGTGCCTTGTCACGTTTCAATATGGATATATAGGAAGACAGCTAGATTGTTCTTCGAAGTGCTCGACCCACCTTTCCAATCGACGTTTTTGCGAGTGAATTAATGAGCCACCTTTTCCTCTTGTTTTACTCCCTAGTGCCAGTCCATCGTACTAATTGATATAAGGCACGGTGGTTTCTGGCGGCGAAAACCTTTTCCATCTGTAGAGCTTTCGATGTCCACCAAAGCTCTCGGTTTTCCCGCAGACCCTTGACTTTTTGGCGCTTGTGTGATTTGCGTGCGCTGTCGTACTCGATGCTAATATGGGATTCCTGGAACTAATCAGGACTAGTGATCACGATGATATCCAGTGGTCATTTGTTTGTGTTGGATAAGTCGGACAGACAGCACCGAACGCCTTTAGCATAGCTGCTTTCACATCTTGTGGTTCATCCGCATACTCACTACCACCACAGTATTGGTTTATTCTAAAATTGTTGGGTTAGCTCAGGTAGATACTGTTGAGCTATGAGAGTTTTTCACAGATGGTGGATTGGCATGTTTCTTGATGACTTGTGAGGACCTGAAGAGGAGCAAGCTGTCGAGCGTGCACGCACGATAGTGTGATCGCAATCAATTTGTGTGCCCCGGAAGGGAGGGCAGTCTTGGGTTGTGACTCCACCGGTGGCTGATGGCCACGTGATCCAACTGGGTCCACGATTCGTTTGTTCATAATGGTCGCCAGCTTGCGCGATGCGAACGTCTATGCTGAAAGTTTGTATTAACCACAAACAGTTCGTGATCAGCACACGACTGGAGAAGTCGACATCCGTTGTCCGTGTGACGAGCATCGACTCCGAATATGCCGCCCAGATGTGATTCGCTTCTGGATTACCGAGCACACTGAGGGAAAACGGTGAAAAAGCGCCTGGAAATGCATAACCGCGCTTAGGTCCCGTTTACGGGTGTACCCAGCATAGATCAATTTTAAGGAAGTATAAAGTTTCAACGAGCTTAGAGTACTGACACTAAAAGCTCCAATGTGGAACTAGGTGTTGCTTTGCTTGTTGTCAGTAGCAGTGGGGGGCATAATGCCCGCTGATCAGATAACTCAGTGAACTAATCAGCAACGTCTGATTGTCTGGTGGGAAGGAGTTGGGGAGGGACACCGGGAAATGATACTTCCCGGTTTCCCAGGCCGAGGAAGGGGTTTGGTTGATGTAGCCCACCTTGAGAATTCGACTCAAAATTCTGACCCACAAGGCAGTGGGAAGATGTAGGGTTTTCTTTGGGTACCCTTCCCTAAGCCAATAAATCAATAGTCTGACCTGCTCCCCTGAGAAGGGTTAGCCTAACCTAAGGGCGCAGAGAGTAAGGCGTTGCTGCCTCACTCCTGATGCGGCTGCGCACAGCAGGCGTCTTTTGAGCATCACCAGACTCTGGTTTTAAAAGTATTTCGACCACACTGAATAACACGCCGGCGGTCATGGTCAATTGTTAGGCGATCGACGTGTGCGGGTTTTAGGGTCGACCTTCCTGCCCGTCATTCCTCAAGGGTAGGCAGCATCACTGCTTCCATGAACATGGAAATATTAGTCGCCTTCGCCCTGCTATCGCAGAGGACAGTACGACGTTACCCCCAAACCGCCTTGTGGCACGATCACTCGTAGTGAATGGTCCCGCTTCTTCCTTTTGACTTTCCTGGCATGGTTGCACCTTGTGGAACGAAGTTCCAACCAATGTAGCCCGCCTGATTATTGCAGCACGGTTTTACGTTTGTTTCCCTCCAATTTTTGACTTTGCATGGTTGCACCTTGTGGAACGAAGTTCCAACCAATGTAGCCCGCCTGATTATTGCAGCACGGTTTTACGTTTGTTTCCCTCCAATTCGTAGGCAAACAGGAAGCGCGGAACTCGTACTCAAGAAAGTAACAAATTTGAGTGACGAATATTGGGCAGAACATGTTAGTGGGTGTAGAAACAAAAAGCGTCTTATTCTGCAAAGAATCTCAATGGCAGCTCCAGCTTTCCCGTTTTATCGACTGTGGTCTTTAAATGCAATGCACCTAGCGCATCCAGCTTTTTCTCGTAGGTGGTCTCAGGAACCAGGCAGTCCCTGATGTTTTGAGGACTTTTTGGTGGTGTCACTTCCATTTCGTCGCTCTAAAGGACTGAACGAGGGCAGCAAGAAATATTTCGGCCAGGTACAGGTTACGTTCAGCACATGCCTACTATCAGGTGCTGGACTTTCTAGGTACATTTGACTCTGTTGCCTGATGTATTCTCAACATACCTGTTCAGTTGGCATTAGCCCTGAAGCTTATGAGCGTAATCAGTTGCAGTTTTTAGACGTACAGGCTGCCTCCTACGAAAGACAGCTTTTGACAGTGATGTTCATCTTTTTCATCCCTACTTGGCTCTATAACCGGCGAAGTAGTGGTACGAACTATGGAAGTTTAAGATCCTATAGTTCAAACAGTCTCCGAGGCAAGTCTTACTGACTTGGAGCAGACAGATAGGAATAGAACGAAGCATGGGTGGTTTTCTGGATGAACTGATCAAAGTGACTCATTCTTTGGCTTGGGCTTCGCATCCGCAAAGCGTGAGAAAATAACTCCGAATATTCAGTCGCTGAGCCTATGAGAGACACTGGAGGCTGTGGAGCAACTGTGTTCCGACAGATGCCAATACACGAGCATGTAAGTCTCAAGTCGCTTTTGATAATTCAAGACACTTGTGGTGAGAAAGTGACTAATCTCAGAACCTCAGCGGACATGCTTATCGGGCTACACTACGACCTGTTTTGTTGTATAGATGTGATGCCTGTCCTTTGCGAGCAGTAGAACTCAGGTCTTTGGTATTCGTTGTCTCGGGACTATAGAAAGTGTAGGCTGCTGCCAATGAAACCGCAACCAGGCAATCAGAACATTCATGTGCGTTTTTCAGGCTTTGCAGTCGGAGGATGTGTTTAGCACCAGAAACTGCAGTGTCTTGAGCATGCTAGTTGCCGTGGTGCAAATAGAGGGCTCGTCAATCATTGACTTTTGGATGCTGTTAACGCGACCTGCCTTCTAGGGTGATGCTCGCGTGCGTCACCAGAAGAGCCGTAAGGTAATCCGCTGATTGATGTCCATCGCGTCTTTGTTGCCAGTTTGCATCCAGGTTGTCCGATCTGGTGGCTGGAAATGTTTTTAGTGGACTGGGGCTGCTCTTTATCTTTCTTCCGTTCTCCACAATAAAGCTCCCAACTGAACCAACGGTATATCGGGCATTAAGATTATGCTTTCGATGTTGATCATGGTGGTGCTCACTAGTGTTATACTAGTAGTGGGTTTGCATCAGTGGGTGCACGTGGGAGTACTGGATACTGAGATGGTCTCCTTAAAAAGGCAAAGAAAATGTTACGTCAAGATGGCTTGGTAATGTACGACCAGTCCACCGTCTTCCAAAGTAATCACGGTTATCTGCGAGTAGTGCCAGTTTGGAAAGTCTTCCTTATCTAAATGCGGCGATACTGCAAAGCTTAATGAGAGCGACCACTGTGGAATCTGGCGCTGTAACATTTCGTGTGCCTTTCGAGTGGAGGTTTACTTACGTTTCCTTACATGTGAAGAGAAACTCTGCAGAGTAGTAAAAACCCATCCAGTAGAACTGGATAGAGTTTATCTGTTACAGCTGAAGCTGTTCTGGGTAAGAATTACATTATACAGTCGGAATTGTCAATATTTTACCGTCCTCAAAAGCCTTGTATCTAAGGGTGTTTTTCGACGGTAAGACAAGGATTTATTCCGAAGACTTGTCACTTTTTCAGCCTTTCTGCTCACTATATCTGCCTGTGTGATCTGCTGCTGCTCGAAAATGTTGGTTCCTTGAAATTTGGTTGGGAACGGCGCAATCGGTAAACTAATATTTATGTCCACAAGTAAGTGTTGACAGTGATTTATGACTTGTACCACTCTGCGTGCATGTATCGACGAAGGATGGAGTTCAGTATAGTTGTGATGAGTCCTTGTTTTTAGAGTGTCTTTTTCATGTGCGTTAACGGCTTCAGAGGCACGCGTCACATTTCAAACTGCATTCATCACGGCATTTGCACAACTTCGTTCTTACGGTATCTGCAACCGCTTTAATGTGTCTCAGTTAGTATCACCTATCAAAACTACGGATAATGCCAAGGACTTCTGAATTCTGCCCACGACAATAGTTTCCATCAACAGTTGTATAAAGCTTTATGTCTTAACTCCTAGCATTTTGCTAGGCCGTGGACATAAGCTCAATAATTGTTTTATTAATAATAATACTTGTAACCCTACAGGAACGTCTACCTAACCCTCCGTACCCAGGACATGAAATCCGGTTACTTGCTGGTCGGTGCAGCGCACTTGACCTCACGTCACCTAGCCTCACTGTCATGCCGCCCTTAATTCATCGAAATTTTTCGAAAGACAACCCGCCGGCTGTCCTTGTTATTCCGGTCAATTATGTGTCATTTAGAATTGTTTGGTCTTCAAGAGCGCTTTAGATCTCTTCACAAAAGTTAATGTCTACTCGCTTTTCTGGCCGTTCGCAGCACTCATTTAGCAAAATCATTTTATTTCTCGTTAACGCAGTAGATCCATCGGGACGCCTCTAGAATGAACTACGCTTACAGTTTTGGATGTGCAGCATTTGCTGTTACGTCTAACGTGCTTTCTTCATTTGAATCTAGATGACGGTTCACTAAATGGAACAAATTAGGACCTTTTCCATTCAATGGGGACCGTTTTTCCGTGGGGCTGTGCAAGAATGTGAAGGTGGGATTTTTTGTGTGGAGAATTTACTTGCATGCAGTTTACACAGCCCCTGCTGGAACCAAATTCTGCTGTTCATTCTGCCCTTGTGTTATCGTACGGTTTCCATTTGCTAGTCTGTTGGATAGCTGGTTTTTTCATTTTAGGAAATCAGAAATGGTAACCGGCTTTTGAATATTCGTAGTTTTCGGCACAAATACTGTAAATAGTCGTTCAATGGTAACACTTTTGGTGCTCTGCCACGCGAAGAAGGTGCGAGGCTGAGCTGCTGCCAGATTATCCAACCCTAGACAGGAGCAGTAGGAATACTGAAGTTGAGTTCGAACCACGGAACCTCTAGTCAGTAGGTTCGCGCCGTAACCCCCGGAATTTTTTTCCGTGCGCGCAAATTCAGGGTTTGTGGGTCACAGAGAGATATAAGGTTTTTTCTGGATCTTCTCATGAGGTTGATTTTTCGGCTAAGAGACATTCTGTTCCGAACGAAATTTTTCAAACTTTCTGATTACCCTTACCCTCGTACGGTTGGCTCACTAGTACACTGAAGTTGTCTTGCAGTTTAAGCAATGTAGAAAATACCACTGTTATGTGAAAGTGCTATTGTCTCGTCATTAATCGAAAGAACACCTAGAATAGCTGTTAATATGAGCCGTTTTGCCCGCAAAACTCCTATTCTTATTCGGAAAATTGAAGGCCCTAATCTTTTCGAGATTAATGGTTTCAAGCAAGTGTCATACAGGAAATGCTTTGTCCGTGATTGCATGCCTCAGTGTCGAAGGTAGTACGTACCGGGATGACCAAAAATGGGTGTAGTTCATAGTAGGGGCTGAGAACATTAAGAGTTGCACGTGCAGCAAATGTGCCTCCGGCTGATCATCGGTGGTGTGTGGGATGGAGAAGAGGCTTCAGACAGGATTCTTCAGTCAAGCTGATCTTACTTTACAGTGGCTGTATCGTGCGACAAGATGAGTTGGCCCCACACTTGTACCGTATTGTTTCTGTCCACAAACGGTGGTCGCAGTCAATGGAAGAGAGGCTTCAGACAGGATTCTTGAGTCAAGCTGATCTTACTTTACGGTGACTGTATCGTGCGACAGGATGAGTTGGCCCCACACTTGTACCGTACTGTTTCTGTCCACAAACGGTGGTCGCAGTCCAGGTTTGCATAGATTGAAATCCGAGTCCGGTTCCAGAAGCGGGTTAGTTTGCGGAACCGTCAAATTTTCAGAATACGCTTTAAAGATCAATGGTAGAAAGCTCGAGTCTGTGGACGCCTTGTGCGCAGAACGTCCAAGTTTCACAGCCGCTGTATGGATTGCCGCTTTTAATTCACGAACTTATGTGCTTAAATTGACCTCACTTCTCCACAAAGTCCTCGTAATTTGCGTAGTGATTGTATCGCTCAGAAGATCAGTGTGTTCTCCAGCCTGCTCATTAGGTAATATGATAGAACCCAACTCGACGTCACTATATATAGGGACGTGCTCAGTCTTGTCATCTACGTGAAGGGTTACTCTTTGAGCACGTGTTTGCGTGGAGTTTGTCATATAGAGGTTGATTGACCCTATCAGTTCTGTATGAGTGGCTCGATCAAAACCAGCTCACAGGTATTCTTTTTTCTCCAGGTAGGACATTTTCATCAATGTATTCCGGGTTTCAGTCAAAATATTTGGACTTATTTGTGTGCCAGAGTATCCTTCCAGTGCCTATTGCATCACCCATTCAATCGCTAAGTTTAGTAACTCTGGTGATTTGTCGGTCTTTGTCTCACGTCGGAGACAAGATCAAACTCCGCCTTTTTGGCTGCAAACTCGGACTCGAGCCTCCATCAGCAACTAGTAAACTTTGATGAGTGCAGTGAGTTTGGTCGGTATATGGTCTGCAAGGATGATAGTCCATAACGGATCACGGTGGGTAGAGTCGAACACAATGTAGAAGTTCGTGGAGCAGCGTTGCTGGGATTCGGCACGGTGTTCCAGCAGTCAATGTAGGGTTATTTCTCGTTCACACAACTCCATGAGCGCGAACCACCCTGATTGGATCGTGTTCGAGCACCTGATACTTGGAAAATATTTTCGTAGTCTAATGAAGCAAAGTCCTTAGCAAAAATATCTAAGTGCGAGATAATCCCCGTTGATCAGTTTGTGGCTGAACATTCCAGTGCACACAACACTAGTTGGGTCGTTGCGGGGTTTGAAACTTTCTGGAGTTTCGTGACATATGCACTGCGCGCGATTCCCACTAAGGATGAAGCGATTGTACACTTCTCGGCTTTTGAGCACAGATTGGCTTCACCTGCAGGACAAACTCCCTATTGATCCCTCGATAAGTTTCACGCATTGTTTTTCCATCTCGGGATTAGGAATAAAAGGGATGAGTTTCTCCCCTGAAATGGAACTGAATACTGTATGTAGACGTAGAAGGATTGCGAGGAGGTAATAGTCTTATGCCTCACGAATGCTGCCCTCTCCTGGGGCTTTCATATTTCTAAGGTAGTGGTTTTTGCTCCACTAAGCGACTCGCAGTTAGTGCTTTAAGCCCCCGGAATCGATTTTGCAGGCCGGATTAGCAGTTGACTGAAGTGTCTCAGCTACTGGTTCTTACACCAGTGATCTGCTATCAGCTTTCCACTGCTGTGAAAAGTGGCTTTGTTTGCTGCTTTTTACTACCGACAACAAGAAGTAGGCGAAAATGTTCAGCCAGATCACTAACATTCGGGGCTCTATTCGCATTTGCGGCCACACGCGGCCAGTGTAAAAACGATCGTTTCTAGGACGTCTAGTCCCCTAACGTTGAGACTTTGGAGGTCAGGAGACTTGTTAAAGTGCGCCTGCAATGCCAAATTGTAGAAGTGTGATCCGTTCTGTCGGAAATTCAGTCTCATTGTGTCTGGGTCACTGTCGTTGCATGGCACAACTAGGACAGTCCCTTGAGGCTTGCTGGATAGATGTCTTAAATGCTGACCATTGCACATCCATCCAGACCAACTGACTTTCAGGAGGCGCTGTCAGTTACGTTGCTTTTCATTTGGAGGGGTTGGCTTGAGTCTTTGCAACCTAGTGGAACAACGCTGGTGCGTCTCAGAGGGCGATGTTTCTGTTCAATAGCAACATAGACTGACTGTCGCCTGCACGAAGCTGTTGTGTGATCCCAGTTTCAGCTCATCGATATGAACGACTACCACTGACGTACATTGCCTCCTTGTCGGTAAATAGTGGACTTGAGGGACAATGTTAACACCATTCAAATACCGTGTTAGTAGATACCATTTAGGATGCTGGATGTCTGTATTGGTGATGGCTAACAGATTTGACGTAGCGAAGTTGACAAGTCTGTCAACGTTCTCATGTGGTTGTCTTAGGTTTTGCTCGAAATTATGCCAGTGGGGCTGTCTGACTGGCTTACGCGAGCATTCTAGTCACCTGTGACTGTGTCTATGTTCAGAAAGACTTGCTGAGAATCTTGGTTGCAGACAAATATGTGAATGCTTTCGTTAATTGTGAGATGAAACACGATTTTGCTGATAACATTCTAAGCCTTATTAAGCATGATCAGCGCATTTCTTTCTGGATATCGAAACAGACCCCATATTTTTCAGCGAATATTTTTCTGAGTGACAGTCATCCGAGCATTTACGAGTACTCTCCGTTTACTTGACTCACGGTTATTTTCTCTCCTTGGTCTCTGCTCGACCATTGTGCTAGGGAGAGCAATGTTTGGGGATGATAAGAGTGGTAAGAGATGTATCTATTACTGATGGTAAGCCATATATTTTCGATACTGCTGAGTCGAGAAAAAGGGCTCATTTCTTCACCAGCTAACGGGTTTCTTCAGCACACTTTGTAAGGGGAGGTGTGCTTTAGAATTTAGGACAATCATGGTTTCTCTCTGCCGTTTGTTTGCACCTAATGAAGAAACCAAGAATGCGCGCGTTCCGTTTGCAGAAGAAAGTATAAAAGAGCATCACCCATCGGTCTTTCCTGCGCACAAACGGTGTCTTTAGAGAGGTAACTCTGGAGGAAGCAGTGAACAGTGTTGTGGGATGAATTTCTGCCGTACAATCTCGTTTGCCACAATACTTGTCAAACAATGAAGTTTAGCAAAATACAGGGCTAGTTGTAAAGTAAACCCTGGTGTGACCGACCACTGATACCACGTCTGAGTCTGAGAGTGATTCTAAGGTCTTTCAGAGTGCACAACACAGTCGATTATGATTAATCAGTAGTCCCTCGATGAATTTCACTTTGTACGGATGACTGTCTCTTGCTGTGAACCGGAAAGGGGAGTAAAGTTCAAATCTGTGGCCCGTCTCGACCAGATACTTGGTAATCGATGACTTAATTTTAAACTAAGTCCAAGTAAAGTTAGGGTCACCTGGTTTCAAATCTCCGTTTTTCCTGGAAATTGGTAGTTAATTTTTGAAAATAACCATGAGATTTGCATTTGTACGTACTTTTTTGCCTAAATGCAACCACCCATCAAGCGCGTAGCTTTCCGTAGCCTGCGTTTCACACCGTTTTTTTGTCGTAACCAAATCCCTTGTCTAAATGTACGGGAGGACCCAACGGTGCTGCCTAGGTGTTCTTGAGATCGATACGTCCCATGCTATTTAGATTATAATTCACTGTCACTTTCAGAAGCCACAAAGTCCAAAGTTACAGAATATGGGCATTTTTAAATGCTCTTGTTATCAGTAACCAAAGCCCAGTAATCTCTTTAGGGTCGCAGTGAGTTTGACTGCCAATGAGCTGTCCCGCAACCACACACTGATTATAGGACGGTTAACATCTGAAGACTACATATATTTGACGAGCCGCAATCAGGGCTCAACCTGTGTCATACTCTGTTCGTAGATTCCGGTTACCAGAGTCTCAGCACAACAATTGGAACCTTGAAAATAGTTCATTCTCACGATTCCTTGGCTGGTGATTCTGTGGGTTTGGCAGCCTACATGGAATTGGCCTGTGTTATTCACCGCTTAGAATTGGGTATTATGTTTGGACTATTCAGGTTCGCGAGACGTGCCAGGTGAAGGTCCTTGGTGCGTTCTGTTAATATTTCCCTTTCTGGTTGATTGAGCCTAGAAGTGAGATCGATGTAACACTTTCGTTTGGAATATACTGCTAGTGTGCACTTTGATGCTGTTGTGAAGTGAGACATCCATTCTTGGTTCACTGTGGGTTGAGTTTTCCCACCTGTTGTCCCCAATTCTAACGTCGCAGCACCAAAATGTTGTCCAAATTCCGGTGCACCTTCGAGAACTGCGTCGACAACTGGTCCTGTTACGGTTTTCATTTGTTTTTCGCTTGTAAGCACGAATTATGGTAACTAAGTGCGTGTTTTAACAAGAGTTGTGTCAGTGCAGTATTGGAAACAGTCTATTAGGTGGTTAGAGATCAGATCAAATCCGTCTTTTGGAACACTCTTCTTGTCCTAAGTGAATCAATTGAAAATAAAAGTGAAAATCATGCCAAGCTGCAAACTTGGCACTGTCCTTGCGTTTTTTCTCAGTACATACTTTGTGTGTTTTCCATTATGCTCATAGAAATTGAGTCTGTTCCCTTGCGCCTGGCAGTTGCTTATGAATCGAACGAACGATACAACGTCACGTCTTGCCAGTTCTCACCATGTGGTGAGTACTTTGCCTTTGTCCAGTCCCCATGCGTGGTGGCCGTCTATCCGGTGGAGAAACTTATGTGAGTTGCGTCACCATTTAAAGAATTTACGCCCCCTAAAATCTGGAATCAACTAACAGTCATTTGCTAAACTCGGATATGTTTGTAGATTTTATTGACAGCTTCTTATCCACCCTTTCAACTGTAGAATCGGCGCTGTATATAAAGAGTGGACTGGATTGCCTCCGGAAGATCACCTATTCCGTTTTTTAAACATCCCATTCTCAGGTGAACGCTTTCGCGCTTTCTTTTGTACCGCCATCCTCCTTACATGGAGTGTGCCTTTTAATTCCCAATTTTCGGCACCTCTCGAAAATTCATGGGTAGAGATAATCAGACAGGCTCTCTCGCCTTACCTCAAATTCCTATTGAGACCACTTCCTCCACCCGTTCTACGTTATCCTATCAATTCCATAGTGGCCGATCTCACATTTGCTTTTTGTCATTACCCTTCTCATTGTGCTCCACCTAACTGATTGTATACCCCTCAAGGAGAAGGGCGCAGTTGGCCTCTTAGGGGAGATCACACGTGACTAAAGGGAGCCGCTGCGTGGACTCTTCTGGGGGAGTAGGCGATCTTTTTCGAGGCGTACATATTTCTTGACTCGTCCCTTTGAATGGCTTAGGTATTAAGAATGCCTACCATTCATGACATCTGCCTCTACAGTCAAAGTCCATATCTGACACTTTGCGAAGAATGAGAGGCCCAATTGAATTCCTTTCGCAGCCTGTGCAGTATAAGCCTAAACTACGATCATGTCGGCGATACAGTCACATTGCATAATACGTAGCATATGGTCAGTCGATTTAATCTATCTGGTCTGATCATTTGAGTACAAAACAAAAATATTGGTGCGCAAGAAAATTGCTTAGTCTGGACACTGCATACGTACACTGAGCCATGCGGACTATAATAACTCTTGTAGATATCATCAGCTTGAAGTTTAAAACAAACTTTTTTAGGGACTTGATTAAGCCTGAAATCAAAGTGTGATCTCCTACTAAGCGCTTACTTAAATGCAGATCATGAAAGAAGCCATGGAAAGTAGAAATTCGTATACAAAAGTGATGTAAGCACTGTACTGAAACGAATCGCTCGTTCGTCTCGTGCTACGCGAAGACCGATGTTCAAGATACCGTAGATTTTTCATCAATCCTATAACTATAACCATTTGAAGAAAGGTTGTGGAGCATTTAGTTGTTTGTCTCCACTTTTTTGGGGCGCGAACTTCCCCTATTATCTACCCAACATTAATTTTTGCGGGATAATGGATGCACATTTCCGTGTATTTGGTACTTCAACTTTCCCAGTTTACCTCGAAAAAAGAGCAAGGGGTTTGGTGGTCGTTGGCTTGTTCGCTGAGCTGCAATCAAATTACCCCGCTCAGCGAACAAGCCAACGACCAACAAACCCCTTGCTCTTTTTTCGAGGTAAACTGGGAAAGTTGAAGTACCAAATACACGGAAATGTGCATCCATTATCCCGCAAAAATTAATGTTGGGTAGATAATAGGGGAAGTTCGCGCCCCAAAAAAGTGGAGACAGGTTTCTTTCGTTCGCAGTAGGTTTTATAGCTGCAAATGTTTACATCCAAATACCTTTTTGTTTCCCATCAGGAGTTTCTGTTTCATGAGTATCCCGGTCTCAATGCCGGAGTCATACAATCCGACCGGACCGCTCACAAGCGAAGCACCGGGAACACCTACTCCTTGGCGTGTTTTGTCTTCCGAACTGTTATCGGGCGATAGCGTTCGCGTGGATTTGCAACCCGTTTGTCGTATCGAAGCCCAGGGCGTCGTGCAATGCTTAGCATTCGCGCATGGTGATTGTTCTCGGTGTCGTCTCCCACACCGATCCGTGAAGCGCAGATCCGTTGTTCTTCAGAATTCTTTCGTTTCACTCATATTGATCGGGCTCATCACTGGTTATACTGAGGTGTACAATCTTTGCGACATAACTCTACCCATTGCTCGTGAGTGCTTGGTCCCTATATTGTGTACTTCAATCAAATATCCTGTTTAACTTCACTCAGCCACTTTGGGTTGTTCGCGGACTTAGGGGTTAGTCTTCGAATTGGGAAGACCTTGTGTTTTGTTTCGCTGGCTCTCAACACCATCTGAGAAATAGAGATTCGATTTTACCTCTTTCTATCCAGTCGTCATTTGTGGTGTTCTGAGTGAAACACCAATCTTGCAATGGCAAGTCAAGCATGCTTATTCTTGCACCAAATTGCACAGTGAATTTTAATTGAGATTTCGTCGTTTACGTGAAATCAATCTATGCTGAGAAGCACTGTGCAGCTATTTTTATGCTCATTGGGGATCAGCAGCGGTGCTCATCTCACGCAGCTCGGAGTTTCGAACCCACAGTCTTCCCGCCGGTGGTTGAACACTTAACCTTTCGACCATGGGCGGCTGATCAGTAATGTGAACTAAGGGCGAATTGTCGAAAACGGCTTCGTGTTCAGCAACAGTGATGCACTCATGTGGGTTGACGACAAACGTTTGTTGGAATAAAATGTGCCAAAACGCAGCTCCGGTTATACATGAAAACGCTGTATTTGTAAACACAAACCTGCACCTCTAATGGTGCACTTTTGAGACCCGTTTTGTGTCTTGGTTACTGTAAGGCAGGTACTACAGTGAGTGTTCTTTATCTTAGTTTGCCCTGACAATTTCGAATTATTAACCCGACGCTGACAACTGTGCTATTGTCCCTGTGTGTGTGGTATGATAGCTACCTTAATAACAGGGTGTGGCCACTGAAGCCTGTTTACGATGATGTGACACTCAGACGCCTGTCACTGGATTGAAAGGAAGTGAGTGCAACCGATTGGTCGGAGATCCTCCGGTTACCTTTTAGGTTCCTGTTGGCGCCACAAAACCCCAGCTACATAATGGAGACAGAGGCGTGTTGTAGAAACTTCGTTGTCGCTGGATTTTGCTCATTCTTCTCTATTCACTGTTCTTCCTCACAATAATTACCCGAGATCCCTTGGGAGAGAGTCACTAGCTTGTCAAATTTGGGTCACGAAATTTGAACACGGCTTATTTACATGCAAGATACCAACTATTCTTCAATATTCGGGAGCGATGTTTAGGCCTAAAAACACAACAGTTCCTAAGCAGCTTGTCTGTTGCATGTGGTCCTCAGAAATATATACGAGAAGTAAATATTCAGCCGTAACACCCTTTCGGTGCTTAGCTACCACGGTACCTGAAGGATGACACGATGGCTGAGATACTTCCAGGTTGCCCAAGCCTAGACAAGAGCCGTTGAGATGCTGAGGTTGGGTTCGAACCACAAACCTTCTGGCTAGTAAATCCGCGCCTTTATCACTGAGGTACATCGCCCCCTAGGTTCACCTGTCAAAGTTAGTTGTCATCAAAATGGGGGTAGTATATTTTCCGTATGTTCTTGTAACTGCAGGTCGCAACAGATGTAGATTGAACCTTGTCTATCATTACAAATGCTTCAGCCCGATGCTTCAGTGAGTATTTCTGGTCGGACCTGAATAACCGTTCAATCCCGCTGGTATCAAATAAGTACTTGGGCAGTAAAGTTCCTCTTAGTCTGTTCACACTAGCGGCTTGGGATGCCCGTAGAATCCGTAGAATCACACTAACTTTGGAGCCTTTTGGTTTCGTTTACAAATCCCATTCGAACTCATTTACCCTTTCTAGCCATCGGGTGAAAACATGCAAAAAAACAGGTGCAAACAAGGTTAAAGGAATTGATATGCGACGGACCACGGCAACAGACGCACGGGTGCAAGACTCATGTCTGACTGACATTTAGTCTGGTCACTGGACCTAGAATCACTGTAGAGCTTTTTTTTCATCAGTAGGAGTGTGACAATACAAAGCCTAGAAAGTCGTCTTTATTGAGTAGTTTCTGGTGTATTTTGATGTTTTGTAACTAAGCGAAAGACCGGAAACCCATTCAGAGTGTTTGGAATGGAATGCGGCGAGTAGTTTCTATAGGCTGAGTGGCAATATCCCTCAGACCGATAACCTAAGTCACCTCCCGTCTTTCGGAGCTTAATGCCGCTTCCTACTGCTTTGAAGCGGGAACGACTGGGATAATCTGGGAACTGTGAGAGCACGAAGTGTTCATGGCTACTGTTCTGTTTATCTGGGAACATCTTTTTCCGAAACTTTTTTGACTAGATAACTAGATTGTTTGGTTTAGGAACCTCACATCTTTCAAACCCGCTGTATTGTGCTGGAGGACCGAACTCAGCCTTATGTCACGTAGGTGAGCCTAAGATGTGATGTAGCATACTTCCAAGCCTCCAATCAAACGGCTATCTGGGAACTCTTTTTCCGAAACTTTTTTGACTAGATAACTAGATTGTTTGGTTTAGGAACCTCACATCTTTCAAACCCGCTGTATTGTGCTGGAGGACCGAACTCAGCCTTATGTCACGTAGGTGAGCCTAAGATGTGATGTAGCATACTTCCAAGCCTCCAATCAAACGGCTCGATGTTTTTACGGGCTGACAAAATTAGCTTCGATGCGGGGCGAATAATTTGAGGATTTTCTCGTTCGATCTTACGCTACCTCGGGGAGGTTATTTCAGTCATCTGAATTCGATATTTCAGCTTGCAAACCAGTTTGCTTTTAACGGGAGACTCGACTAAATCCAGGTGAATTTCTCATTTGTGATCTTCTTTAACTGAATATGCTGCACAAAGGCCGTCTCATGTTTCAGTTAGTACGATATCCGATATATCGCAGCATATTTTCTCGGCGCGACACAGGCTCATAAGGTTGTTGGAAACTCTCCGAAGAGTTCTGACCAACGTTACAATTAGTATGTTCTGCGAAGAAAGCTATTTTGATTTATCATCACGGTAGTTCATTGCCACTGTTTCACTATGCGGCTGCCGTTCGCTAAGTTGCTGTACTTTTTGTCGATACCTGAATTTCAGGTATTCCCAGCCTGGTCCTGTTTGCGGACAACCTCCCCATTTATCGGCTGTGTGTGGCAACGGACGATAGCCTACGAGTGGCATCGGTTCAGTTAGGAGGCGACGTGAAGCTCTGGGATTTGTGGGATGACGGAAATATGTATGCAAATCTCAAGTCAAAATTTGTTTTTCCCAGTCCCGATGAGACTGCCAGGGACATGATACGTGGGGAGGCGTGCACGTTTGCCTGGCAACCTCATGGTTCTCATATCTGTTTGGCCGGTCAACGGGGCTATGGTGTTGTTTTAATGGTGCGTTTGTTCACTGGAGTACTCCCAGGTGATTTTACATTGTCCACTATATTGTCCACCTGTGTGTGTGCAGATTTTTCCGAATCCTGTAGTTTCACCACTAATTGTGAACAAGTTATTCTGTTGTTCACTGATACACAAAATGTGTATCCATTTCGGTAAAGAACATGCCTCCGCGATTGCCGGATAAACCGGTTGAGCACCGTCTCTCTGTGCTCGAGCTTCTTGGGGGGAGGTTCCACCCCGGTAACTCATTGATATATTTTTCTTTTGATAGATAGATTTTGCTTGATAGATTGTTGTTCTTACTCAGAAATAGATGTAAGGAACCTTACCATGTGCTTGCTCCTCCTGAGTTTCGGATTTATCTTACTAGCCTTCTCGGCTTCATTCGGCCACCTTGAGGAACCTTGCAGTCTTGGCATTCTAACTTTTTCTAACCTAGTGATTATTGCGTGTGGCTAAAAGACGCGTTCGTGATCAGTAGGGACAACGTTAGCTAATGTTGAACACTATAATGATCAGTGACCAGCCTATCCTTTTCTGACTGCTATACAATCACGCGTGAATTTAGGGCTCGCCACTTGCATTCACTCTCGGAATTGCTAATTTTTATCCAGTCAGAGAAGCCGTTCGGCCGTGTTGCAACGCTCCGTTCTGGTCATTTTAACCGTATATCTGCGGCTACCTATACGCACGATGCAAGTCTCCTAATCACTGCCGCCTACGACTCGAGCTGCGTGGTCTGGTCTGTCCCTGAATATGCTCCACTGCATCATTACTGGTAGGTCTTACGATTTTTTGTTGTGTACACAAGTGCCCTTCTGCGCTGTTGTGCACATAAAGATCGATGCACTAAAACAAAATTCCTGTTGTCATTTCTTTTCACATTGATCGTCACGTGCCTTTGGTCATCTGCTCACCTGGCAACCAAATTTCCGTGTCGCTACACCGAACATGCATTAGGAGTATGTGTTTTACTTAATCGGGTACCCTCGTATGTACTAAGCAGCTCATCTCCCACCACAGTCTTCTTCAAGTCTAAACCGAATGAGAAGAAATTTCGAGTTATTTTCCCTGACAATACAATTTCACCCAGATCCCCTTGCACACTATGTTCTCACTACTCCTAAACTGATTGGACTGAATCTGACTAGGAATGAATCGAAGGGATTAACTACTCACGTCCATTTGAACTCCAGAACTGTCCGCAGCTCGTTTTTTCACCTTTTTATGAACGCCATAGCACCATAGTCTGATGGTTTGTGTAGAGTATAGGGAGCTGGAAAAAAAGGAAACTATTGAATTCCAGATGATTATCTGACACTGGTCGTCCAGTACCTTTCATATGCTGCACCTTCAAACTTTGTACTGCCTCGCTCTGTCCTGTTTCCAGAAATCGCCTTAAAGTATCGCAGCGCCTCACATGTACCCACCTCTTCGCCCGTCACATTTTGCACCAGTTCATAGTATGCCAAGGCTTTGTTAGTTCTAAGGGTGAAATTCTGTGACACCCTTCTTTTTTATGGTGGCTTACGCTAGTTGATGACATGTGTACGCCGAGTGGAACTCGCGAGTGATACGGGTCACCCTTCAATCTTTTGTGTTTCAATCGTTTAGATAGGCCAACTTGACCTGAAAACGAAGGGCAATCATTTGGCTGGGCTGATGGTTTTAAGATAGGTTCTCTCTGTTCATCCCTTAGTCGTATTCCCTTGTGCATACACTGACCAAAAAGTTCTGCGGACACAGTTTTGCACACACACCTCTGCGTAAATCACACATTTGCTACCTATCCTGTTTAGGGCCTTTTGGCGTACCTTAGTGTGACCAATGAATCCAGATTCGGTTGTGAGCCCGCTTCCATTTGTTTGCTTCCATGTTTGCGTTCTACCTATTAACGCGAGCCCGATGAGTCACAAAGCTAAGAGACATTGTGTGACTGAACAATTCGAAATTCAACTAGACGTTTACGTCAAAATTATCCAGCAGAATTTTAAATACATTTCTAAGTCGTTTGCAAAGACTGCAGTTCAGAATAAGGAGGACTGTCTGAATATGCTAACAGATGATCAAATCAAGAGCAACCGCTAATTCGAATTCCACGGCTATGCACACCAGTCAGCTAGAGTGCAGACTTATGGTGAACTACTTAAGGTCCGGTTTTGAAAGAACCCTTTTTATTTACCGTTCATCATCACCTCCCACGTATGATTTCTGCGGTGAAATGCGAATCGTTTGACTACGTTGCCTATGTTAGAAATTCCCATGGTTATATTCCACCAACTCTTTTTCAAGTTGTATTTGTTTTTTGGAATCAGCTTAGTAGCTTGAGCAACAGTTAGCTGAGATTAAAGGCAAGTTGTTTTTGCAAATACACAAACATATACTTAGATTGAAGCACGATCGCTTTTGCGCGACTTCACGTGCATGTGTCATTCACATCCCGGGTATGATGCTCTCCTGGATTCGTATCACTCTTGCTTTGGTTGAACCAGCTAACCAGTCCATAGATTTCTGTATGCTGGTAGCTCAGGTACCATATGTCGTCGCTGGTTGGTTCCCGAACTAGGCAGTTGAGTTACATCAATGTGATCCCCTGCCGATCTGAACATGGCAGTGGGATGAATCCATTTCATGCTCTGTTCTGTCTCAAAAAATGTAAAGCAACATAAGATACGTAACGTAATACAACTTTCAATATATACGACTTTAAAACAACGTAATCGATCAACAAAACCAAAGTATTTTCAGAGTGGACCTTAGGTCTTTCTGAGGGCATAGGTCAGGCTGGAACCGACCCCAGCGAACTTCATTCCCTGTGACCTCCTGCTTCATACTAAGATGAGTAAAGTTCATTTCTGTGACCTATGTTGATTAGAGGCCCAATGATCGACTGTTTGACCCTGGGTTCGATCAGCTTCGAGTTGGGGTCAGTTGCAGTGGTACGGGATCTTTGGGACATATGTTCCTTTGCTCGCTTTTTAAGCCTCCTCTCAGCCTCCTATCGATACACCAATCACCGCAACCGAATTCTTATTGAACTATGCAGTGATTTGTAGATGAAACGGAAGTCGGTATTTTGATTGGTGACAGTGGCACAGTCCGTGGATATGCTTTCACACGCAACTCTGCTGCGTTGTAAGTTCGGTGCAAGGTTGCGTTTAGTATCCGTTTACATAAGCTGAGATTTTGATCACCAGAGTAAATGGTCTAGTTTGCCACTGTGAGTGACGCGTTTGATTCATTACTCGGAGTGAAGTGGTTTCTGATGGAGTAGGTAGGGTGGTTATTTGAATGCAACACAGCATTTCAGTTTCCTCCGCGAGTGTATCCGAGGTTCACATCTGTCTAGCTCTTTGGAATGAAGTCAATCACCACCAGGGCGCGTTTGTACCGTAACAGAGAGGAACTTGTTAAGTTCAAATATATCCATTCCACATAGGTTTCCGTATTGTTGTCATTAGTAACTCGTCCGAATGTTTCATTTGTACACCGGTGCTCGTGCTTACCAAGCCATCAATTTGTAATGTAACCGGATGTTTATAATAAGGGTGTGGTCCGATGCCAATTATTTAGGACGTTCTAACTACTCGGTAGCAGTCAGACGATGAATAAATCAACAGCTGGTTAGTCCAATTTATATTCATCAGCTGTTCAAACTGTTTAGTGGGTGTGTGGTGTTTCAGTCAGTGACCTGAACCTGTTAAACAGGGGGGGGGGCGCGTACAAAATCCCTCCGCATCCATCGATGAGTCTCAACAGGGACCAGTTTTTCAATTTTTTTTCTTGGTTAGACTATACGCCTACAATAGTAATAAGGTTTTCGAAAGTTAAATTACTGATGAGACCACATGGGCGTCCGAATGGATGGCCGACAGACTTCACTTTAGGACGTGTACTCAGTTTTAGACTACAAAATGGGATCATCCGCTAGATGAAAGCTATACACCAATCTGCGACATTCAATTTGCGAGGAGACACGGTCGATATCCCCAGGTCGTCAGCGAGTTACGTGTTATGCGAAAGGTTTATTTCAGATTTTTCATCGTGGATATTTATTGTGAAACTCAAGATTCACGAGTGACGTAGGCTTGTGATGTCAGCACAATAAAGATAGTAAGGGCAGGATAAGCCAGTCACGGAATGAAGAGATTATCATGAGACGCATTCATCACTTTAAAATATCGATCGTCAGACGGGCGTACAAAAACAATGGCTTCGTTCCATCAAAATGTTTTGGCAGTAAATGGGTAATTGAGCTTTGTCTCCGTCATCTCCGTTCGTCTCACTGAAATCCATATCAACTATTGGGAATGAAGAGGCTCAAAATATACGTGAAGTATGCCTATCTCCGAGACGGAGTAAGTCTGCTTACTGTTTGTGCTTCACGAAAGTGCCAGTCCGTACATTTTGGCAAGATCGAAGATTAGAGAAGAATCCATGCAGCAAGCAGTTAGTCTAGTTAGTCCATACCGAAGCGGGAAAGCACCTGACTCGGGCTTTTTCTTATCAGAACAAATCAGTAGCGCATATCTTGGCTGTGCCAGAATTCGAACCTCGGACGTCTGAGGTGTGAGGCGACCGTGTTACCTCTATTCTAACCAAACACAGCACAAGAGTGAACAGGTTCACCTTTTCGGATGTGACGATTCGGGTACATTTGAAGTGGCCAAAAATGGGTACTGTTGATATGCTGTAGTAAGAAACTTCAGACCGCTCTCTTTGGTGTGGAATAACAAGAATGGAGGATGTTCAAGTGGGAGAGATGTGAATACAGGTGGCCGAAACCACCGAATCCAATAAGACACCATAATTCGGCGACTACCCCCGCGTTTTGAGCCTCCTAGCAGGCTTAATCGCTTCATGCTGTTGAGGATTTTTGTTTGACTTTGGGGGGTCGCATCGTACACATTCATTCTACTTGAAGTTCTGCTGATTTAATGAGATATCCTTGTCTGACGCACGAACTACGATGTGTTCAAGTGTGCACCTACGAATCATTCTTAAACCCAAGTTTTGTTAACTCATATTCGTTATATGTAACTGCTGAGCCTGTCCACTTTGCGGCCAATATTCCACTGAGTACCAGAAGGACTTCCTCTCCGACAACTGCCTGCAAATGTCTGTATCAGCATTAAATGTCCAAGTACGGAAATTGCCACCAAATTGCTATCGGCTGTTAAACAATGTTTCAGACTGTGAGCTAACTTTCACAAATTTGTACCTAGTCGTTATCTTGTGAGCCTTCCGTCTCCTACCCTGACGCTTTAACTCTGATTAATCCGCGCGAAAACGGGATAGCATTGGATTCAAGTTTCGCTTCTACCGGAACTCACCTACAGTGAAGGCCTTGGTTGTCGCAGGATTGGAACTCCTAACCTCTGGTCTGCAGAGGGAATGTGTTGCACATGCTCCACTGATGCACCCTGAATGCAACTGTCCAACCGGACGATTTTGTTCCCACTTTGAATGATGTGATTAATTTACCCAGCATCCAAAAAAATGACTCATTCATTATCCTAGCTGCGTTGACTAACTGATCAGTCCTACCAGAGCTTATCGATTGGGCAAGGCGTCGAACGATTGGAACCTACTGGGTGATTTTTCCTGTTTAGATGCAGGTGTTTGCGGGGTATGTAAAACTTACTTCCACTTCATTTTTCTGGGCGCAGTTTTTTTAGGTAGTTTACACCAAAAGTGGGAGGAGGCGTTACTGTCCAGTTTTGCTCTGAATTAAGCTCATTGGAGTGGCACATCAGAGGTCCGGAATTCGAATTAGGGTAAGCTTTGCTGTTGTAATCCACTAATAGAAGGGAAACGAGAGTCTAATGCTTCTCTTCTTTGATACGGAACACCCAAACTAATTGCGCCAGGAGAGGTGATGGACTGTCCACACGAGGATTTTTCACCTTCCTAATCGCCTGGAACATGATAGGTTACTGACAATGGATTGTTCTGGTTCATCAGTCTGCCGTATGTCTGAATTAAATAAAGTCTTCTTCCCTCAGTGTTTTCAGTTCTTTTTGTTTGTGACCGAAAGGATTTTGTGCCCAAGGTCATTCGGTTTGCCTGAAGTTTTTGCATTCAGAGGTTCCTGAAAAAGAGATTAGCCAATTCGCCTTCATTTTTACGCATGTACTCCACTCCTCTCTGTGTTCTATAATCGTTTCCCAGTATTTCATTGCCTGGCATTGATGAATTTAGTACACGCGCCTTTGGATGAAAATCAGTTATAAATTAGTTTAGACCTATATTCACCAATTCCTAAGTCGGTTCTCCGTCTTTTGAACAGACTGTGTATGATGGGAGGTTATAGTTCAGTCCATTTTCCATTGTATGCCTAGGAGACGCTCCTGGTACTTCTGAAACATGCAATGTTCCTTCATGGCACACTGAATGACACTCATTGTATTCATCCACTGGCATCTTCATGAATTGTCGCCATTGTTGGAGTTCACGTAAACACGCTTTCTAAAACTCCGTTCATGATAAATTCAGATGCCTTATTTGGTTAGAGCTACAGAAACCAAGCCTAGCTAATTAGTCATGCGGTTGGTGGCTAGTTTGGTCGTACTATGATGGTGCCAACACTGCGGGAGGCACTTCATTTCGCATCATATTTTGTTGTCAACGTAGCGGTTAGTGTCTGAACTAATTGGGAAACTCATGATTAATGAATCACTGGCGCCTCGCCTGAAACTTCAAAATTGTGACAACTCGTACACTTATATCCCTCTTGTGCAACTTTACCATATCGTGGCGCAACTTCTTCCCAGCCGGAATTTCACGACAAATGAGTTTACTTCAAACAGACTTCATTTCTTCTCTTTTCACGCGGCTCGGGTCATTTAATTTCTTTCTGTTTCCCTTTCACCAGGCATATGGGTCGCGTTCCGAGCTTATTGCTTGTCGGAGGAGCAAACGGACATCACCTCTACGATTTATGTATGTCTCCGGATGATCTTCATTTTTTAACCATTTGTGAAGATCGGTAAGTGCCTTCTCTAATTTGTTTTTGCGGTTCAAGCTTGCTGTTTGACCCACTTACTTGTAGGGAACTACATTCGGCCTCATGAGTTGCTCATCAGGTTCCCTTTTGGTATCTTGTTCTCCAGTTGTGTGCGGCTTTGGCCCCTGGCACCCAATACTTCACCAGTCAAGACTTATTATGAATTGGCTCTTACACAATCTACCGGTCCCAAACTTCGATGTGTCAGTTTCAGTCCATGTGGTCGACTCATCTCGGTGACGTAAGTGTCGGTTGTCCATACATTTCATTCAGACTGCTTTTTCCATTCTATTGGTGTGACATTTTTTTTAGCTGGAACGGCGTTAGTCTATCGGTACTACGGAATGTGAATCAACTTCCCAAAACAACCACTATAGTTTGCTGAGATGACTGGCGGACAGGCTATCTTCGTTGAGTGACAAAAACTGTTGTCTTCTGCTTCTAACGTTAATCCTACGGAGGCTTGCTGCCAACAAGGGATGAAGTAGAAGTGTGTAGATGGCTACGATCCTTGCAGTGTTCGAAAGTCCTGTACGCCAGGCACAGAATTTGAATCTCGACAAAACCGCCTAGCTAAACTCGGTTCGTCACTGTACATCGGGATTATTTTGACTAAGGGTTCCTGGAAGTGTTGTCGTTGACAATCCAGCGGATCGCTTTTGTGAATGTTGTTTCATTGATTAAACGCCATGCTATTGGCCGTCTTCACAAGTGACGCAGGAGATTTTTGAAAAAGTTTGGTGACAATCGGTAGATTTATTGCTGGCAACGTTTCGCTTTTGACACAAAAGCTTCGTCAGGTCAAGTGACTAGATTCTGAGGTCGGTCGCGATTTAAGGCGGAAGAACAACAGGAGATTATTGTTACAAGTCCTCCAAGAAGAGTAATACAGTCGCCTGCAAATCAAGTTGTTGTTAATGTGAGACCGAATCCTAGCTAAATCTCCTGTTTATGATGTTCTTCAACTGGATATAATGCCCAACAGCTATCTGGTTTCAGTTAGCACGATCATTGATATGTTGCTGTATACTTTGTGGACAGAACACACTATACGCGTGAGGTTACTGAAAGTCGACATGACGAGTTTCTTTCATTCTTGGGTCTAGTCAGGCAAGTGGCCTCGATACAGCAATTTCATTTGAGCACTATCGTTAAACGAGAGATTTAGCTGAGTCTCCCGGTGAATTTAAATTGATTTACAATTGAGTGCCTCCCTCTAGGTGCTCTGTTTCTTCACTACTTCGAAAGAATCTACACTTCGCTTGCTTTGTATTGTGTTTCTCTAGGTTCCTCCTGTTATTTTCTATTTTTGTACCATCTTCTCATCGTTGCAGAACACTTGAACACTAATTACGTGTTGCTGTCTGCAATGTTAATGCTGAGGGATTGTCAACTGATGGCTACTACTCCCATGTTTGATCAAGTGCCTCCTGTCTTGCTGATTCGGCTCTGGCGCATGACTGAACTCTCCTCGTCATGAAAGGAGAAACCCTCAGGTCTAATTACTCCGCGAGATGGCGCAAGTGGTAGGAGCACGAGTCTACTGACCGGAAGGTCCATGGTTCGAATCCGACCTCTACCTCTCGACTTTCCCTGTCTAGGCTTGGGCAACCCAGCAGTATTCAAGCCCTCGTGCCTTCCTTCGGTGGCATGGCAGCTAGGCACTGAAAGGGTGCTACAGCTGAACGCTAACTGCTCCGTCACCACTGGTGGTGGAGGCCACCTAGATTAGGCATAATAAAGTATCTAAACTTCCCGGGTGCTCTTGTTGCATATCACAGACTGGCAGTCCTTACATGAAAAGTGTGTCTGCATCACTCGATTCCAGATATTCCTCCCTCTGTCTGGTTAGTTCATACAAACTGAAAAGTACTAAATTCTACTCTTATTAGAACTTGTCAGCGGTTGTAAAAAAATCGTTCAGCTGTAGCACCCTTTCAGTGCCTAACTGTCATGCCACCCGAAGGTAGCACGAGGGCTGGGATACTGCCAGGTTGCCAAAGCCTAGACGGGGGAGGTCGAGAAGCAGAGGTCGGGTTCTAGCCACGGACCTTTCGGTCAGTAAATTCGCGCTCTAACCACTTGGGCCATCTAGGTTGTAAAGGCATCTTATATACCTGCATCTTGGAACATACAGAGTCGGCCGAACTGGCCATCCACTATGCTCTGCGGAAATCCTTTAAGTTCTAAGGTGTGTGAACTGGCTGTTAACAAGTTCAGCTGTTATTTAGGAAAGGAATGCCGCCAAACCTATTGGAGCCTTATGTGGTTCGCCGCTCTAAACATTTGGGGTGGATTGACAGTTTTCCAGTTTCCAGAAGAATGTATCGCGAACTGAATAGCC